TTACAGTAATATAGCTTTTTTTTATATTACCATAGTAGCAAACAAGCATACGGCCCATCTGATGGTAAACGGTTACCGTAGACTATAGACGCCTGAAACACCAGGGGTCTCACGCGTTGCCGACCCTTAAGAAACCTTAATATACCCTTCTTGAAAAACCCCATGCTGTAGTCTCGTGAGAAAACCTCGGCAGGAAGTTCATTCCACAATGTAAGTGTACGCGGGAGGAAGCTCCTCTGAAACCGCACTGTCCGAGACCACTTAGGTTCCAGCGTGTGGATGAATTCCCTGTCGATGGCGAGCGATAGTAAAAGGTAGCCGTGGGAATTATGTCGAATATTCGGTAGAAAACACAAAGCGAAGCAGTTCCTCAGAACACAGTCCGTTGTATATTCGGTAGAACACACAAAGCGAAGCAGTTCCTCAGAACACAGTCCGTTGTATATTCAGTAGAACACACAAAGCGAAGCGAAGTCTCGGCTCAAACTACATAAGTGGTTCGATACGGCTAGCCTATCAGTTTCACGGGTGAAATCGCGGACACAGCTAGTAAATTAATAAAATTAAAGTGTCTGTTTGTATATCTAATTAATTGGTTTTCACTAAATGCATATAATCATAATCATAATAATCTCAGGACAATTCACACAGCGCCATCTAGTCCCAAGTTAAGCTATCTAAAGCTTGTGTTACGGGTACTAGATAACTGATACAAGTACATAGATTTTTTTTTTTTTCGTAAATACATATAATATACATAGAAAATACCCAGACCGATACAAACAATCATACTCATGAATACAAATGTATGTGCCGTGCGAGGAATCGAACCCGCGACCATCGGACGTAAAGCGGTGTGCTAGACCGCTAGACCACCGAGGTCGTCATATGAAAGTATATATGTTATTTACATCAAAAATATATTAAATTTCAAATTTACTGGCCGTTCAAGTATTACGTAAGCACTATTTGGAGTCTAAATGATGATCAGGTCATCGGTATTCATTTAATTTTTTACACGAATAGCAACTCTCACATTGTCTTTTCTAAAAAAACAATACATTAATTGAAAAATGTTTTTAGTAATCTGCACCGATTTCCGGTATCTAGGTTCTCTCCTCCAAAGCAATAGTGAATTAGACAGGACCATAAAGCACAGAATTAACGCAGGATGGATGAAGTGGCGGCAGGTCACGGCAACGACGTGTGACTCGCGTGTTCATCTTAAGCTTAAGGGGAAAATTTACAAGACCATGATACGGACTGGTGTCTTGTATGGATCAGAGTGCTGGCCCGTAAAGGAGACGGATGAAAGACTGCATGCAACTGAAATGAGAATGTTGATGTGGATGTGTGGTGTGACAAGAATGGATAAGATAAAGAATGAATACATTAGAGGAAGTATGAAAGTGGCACCGGTGTCGGAGAGGTTGAAGAGTAATCGTCTATCATGGTATGGACATGTAATGCGTAGGAACGAGGATAATATTTTAAGAAAGGTGTTACATATGAATGTGGATGGTTATAAGGGAGGAGGAAGGCCGAAAAAGAGATGGATGGACTGTGTGAAAGATGATATGGTAAGAAAGGGAGTAAATAACGCGATGACTGCGAACAGGGATGAATGGAAGCGAAAAACATATTACGACGACCACAAATAAATGGGATAAGGAAGAAGCAGATGTTGATGGGGGGAGGGGGTAAGAGCTTTGCTTACTTTTGCTGACAAGGGGATGGGGGGGGGGGGTAAATAACTGTAAAAAATCTGCTTACGTATTACTTGACCGGCCCCAGTACTATACCATAATAAAAAACTGCGTGGATTTTTTCTTCATGGCCCACAAGTTGACTGCCAACTGATGGTAAGTGGTAACCGTCGCATACATGAACAGCACTATGGACATCACGTTATCACGTGACGCCCGTGATATCACTCACGCGTTGTCACTCCAGAGTACTAACATGTCACGCCTCTTATCCTGTAATTTCGCTTCCTAATCTGCACTACAACCGAAACAGCTTACAAAGCAAGCTGCTTGGCTGAAATAGGTGAGACTGAGGTACGAGTTTGTACAAAGTCTGTTTCTCTATGATAATGTAATGGTGCACCCGCCTCCGCTAACAGTATACGCTGGCGGGGCACCAGTGGAGGATGATAAGATGAGCATGAGGTCAGGTCAGTTAGCACATCGTGACAAATTCACTAAGAATTTGTCATGATGGTTTCAAGGGGGAACCGCGTGGAGGTCAACCTGATATGGTACATTGCTAGCAATAAGATCATCAGTCCACATTACTAACAATCACCTTTCCCCCATATGAATTATGTAACAAGAATTAAATCTGTGGTCATACAGCCTCTAATGGTGGTCTAATGGTTTAGCATATCGCTTTACTATCCGATGGTCGCGGGTTCGATTCCTCGCATGATACAAACATTTGGATTCACAAGTATGATTGTTTGTATCGGTCTGGGTATTTCCTATGTACAATATGTAGGTACGTATTTACAAAACAAAAAATCTAAATATTTACATCAGTTGTCTTGTACTCATAAAACAAGATCTGCTTAGCTTTGGACTAGATGGTGTTGTTGTGAATTGTTCTAAGATATTATTATTATTATTATTAATCAAAATAGCTAACATAAATATTAAGTTATTTTGTAAATATATATTTAGTGAGTGCATGTTATTTTTTTTTAAGTATACATTGGAATATCTATGGTTATGTATTACAAAAACTCAAGCACTATCGTTGTCCGCTAACTACCACTTCTCTCACAGCGCTTAGTTGGCTGGAAGAGATCTCTTGCAGAGATAAGCCCGTCCTTACTCACATTTTAGTATAACTGTCTTTGTCTATTAATGTAATAAGTGCAATAAAGTATATATATTCGGTTAACGGCCTTGGTGGTCTAACGGTTTAGCATGTACTAGACATCTGATCATCTATAACACAAGCTGTGAGTTAGCTTAGGACTAGATGGCGCTGTGTGAAATATCGCGAGATATTATATTATATTATTATAAATAAAAAATTAAAAAATTCTTCGTTGTATTGGTTTACAAACATAAAAACGCCTGTTAAAGTTTAATAGCAAAACTATAAACCCTCTGTATTGCTATACGCTATTCATAATTGCTGCATATCAAGTTATTGAAATTTTTACAGAATTGTTTCTTTTTATTAAGAGTTTTGAGATCTTGCTCGCTGTTAAAGAAACTAGTACTGCGACCTGCATAGATCTATTGTGCTCGCCCTGTTCAAAGTTCGCTACCGAGACCCGTCAGGGACAAGAATTGAAGGATATTCTTAGGAGCGATTGTTTTTATCTCCTCAGGATAGTTGTTACTTTACAAAGGAGATATTTCGTTTATACATTAGTGACACATCCTATATGTGTCAACAATCTGCAAATTGTTGCTAAGCTGAGGCCTAACATTCCCATGTGTTTGTGTTCTTTGCATGAGTGAGCTACAACCACATAGGATGTGTCAACAATGTGGAAATTGTTGTTAAGCTGAGGCCTAATATTTCCATGTGTTTGTGTTCTTTGCAATATCCATTGTGGGCTCATAGTTTTTACTTAATAGCAATAGTCTAATGGAGTATTGATTCGAGTAGCCCGTTATTAGGGCAAACTATCCACCTAGATGGGTCCAATTTCGAGACAGAGGTTAGTAGTCGAATCGAACTCGGATACTCGGCAGCGTTCGGGAAGCTCCGATATATCTTTTCGTCCAAATTTCCGCAGCGTCTCAAGACGAAGGTTTACGACCAATGTGTGTTGCCAGTGATGACTTACGGCACTGAGACTAGTCGGGTCTAACTATGGGCCTCATGATTGTTTATCTTTAGGTAACGAGGCACGCCAGACCTCGTTAGGTTCAGAGCCCTGTTATGTTTTTGGCCGTAACTTTGGGCAGTTGGTCAGCATAACATCTGATAAAATATTGTCAAATAGGTAGAGTTATCAATTTTATTTAAAGGGCCTTAATACAGTTAGTTAAAAATATATTTTTAACTGACTGTACCCGCGACTTCGTCCGCGGGGAATTTAACTTTATTTTTCTAAAATAAAGATAGCCTAAGTTATTTATTACATCAGCTACCTGCCAAAACAAGTCCCGTCAAAATCGGTCCAGCCATTTCAGAGATTAACCGGAACAAACAGACAAACAGACAAAAATTGTAAAAATTATTATTATACGCCAAGTACCAAGTATGTACCGTATTTATATTCATATGCATGTAATAAAAAACTGTTATTTTAATATTTCAAACATACACTCCAATCTTATTTATATGTATAGATATATATGTGTAGATGTACAGAAACATACGTAATATCTAGTAAAGTACGTAATAACAAACAAGATGACGCCTAGTTTGTTACAGGTCACCAGGCTCGGCTAGTAAAGCTTATACTTAGATCTACTCTCACCGATATCTCCAGACTGAAGACATTAATTTTATATTTAATACCCGTACCGTACTGTACCCGCGACTTCGTCCGCGTGGAACTTCATTTTTCTAAAATAAAAATCGCCTAAGTTCATTACATTACCTAAGTACATTTTATCAGCTACCTGCCAAGAAAGTCCCGGGAAAATCGGTCCAACCATTTCAGAGATTAGTCGGAACAAACCCTGTAATAGGCATGCTCTCAGTTAGTTAAACTTGTTGTAAGATTTAAGAAATATGAAAACCAGTTTGTAATTTCCTGGAAATTAATATACGAGGAAAGTGTACAATAAAAAAAAACAGACGCACTCCATAGTACTTTGCTTTCAGTTATTTTTTCAGTGATTAATAAATATCAGTATATAAAACTTACATCTCTAAAATTTGTAAGCACTGACAATTACGAGATATTACGAAAAACACAACGAACTTTCTATTTTTTTTCTATAAAAGTATCAGTGTTGCCAATTTTCGAACCAAAAAAATACCACGATTAAGTATAAATATCAAATATTAATCTTTTCTGCAGAACAATGCAAAGAACAGACCGTTGGCCCGAGGAATTCGACCCAGAAGCATCCAGAAGCAGGCCCGGCTCCAGAAGGAACTCCACGTCTCAATCGAGAAGGAACAGCGTGAAGAAAGAGAAGGAAGTTAAGAAGAAATCACCAAACGCAACGCCGACCAGCAATGCTACGCCAAAGAAAGTGACCAAACCTCAAAACCTGGATTTTGTTGTTACTGGCAAGCAATGCACCAAAAGGTAGTTAAAAATATATTTTTTCTTTTTTTTAATAAATTTAAATAAAAATTATATATAGCTATCAGTCGTACCAACAGCTAAAAGGACTGATGGAAGATCGTGGAAGGTGGCGGGAGCTCCACCGACAAGAGCACAGCTCTTAAATTATAAATGAATGAATGAATCAGTTTTCTAGTACTCATTACACGAGCTCTGCTTAACTTGGGACTAGATGGCGCTGTGTGAATTGTCTAGGATTATTATTATAACATTATAATTAGGAATTAAGTCGCGGTGTAGTCGCCAAACAGTCAACTAGGCTTCCAAGCTATATCCGAACCCTATACAACGCCTGATGAATCGTTCAGAGGCGAAACACGACGCAATATGGGTGTAGACTTAATAACGGTCGGAATTTGATCGCCACTAGAGAAGGTCGTAGCGCTGGTCAGGTTTCCGCACTGAATATCTGTGGTCTCACACATGATAATTGTAGCGGAAATGAACTTCTTTTGTTTCTTCTTTTGCCTGGCCTTGGTCCCATTTATTTGGGGTCGGCCCGTCTGGTCAGTCTTCGCCAGGACGTTCTGTCCTGGGTCGTCTGGCATGTTATTTTGGCGATTTTTATATCCCTCTCAATAACAGACATCCATGTGAGACGGGGTCTGCCGCGTCTTCTGAGCTGGGTACTTATGTCAAGCACTGTTCTTGTCATGTGATCTGATGGTCGCATGACATGAGCGTACCACCTTTGGCGGCTCTATAAAATCTTCTCCCGTATGGCAGTCACCTTAAAACGTGGATGTTTTTGATGTGGTCCAGCATCGTTACGCCAACCATCTTAGGATTCTCATTTCTGCGACATTGAGTTTCTGCTCTTAGTGCTTTTTCAGCGCCCAGCATTCGGAACCGTACGTCATGACCGAACGCACTACCGCTTTATATACCCTGCCCTTGGTGTGAATGGGCATTCTTCTATCACAGAGTACCCCAGAGAACTCCATCCACTTGATGCACCCGGTGTTTATGCGGTGGGATATATCTGCATCTATTGTCCCATCACTATATACAATGGAACAGAGATATTGGAAGCGGTCGATTTTCTTTATTGGAGCTGTAGATAAATGGTGACATCCAACCCTCCACCAACCCATGGTCATTCCAACCTCTCGATTATACTGGCAGAATCTGCGGGGAATGCAGCGCGCATTCGGTTGGATGTCACCATTTATCTACAGGATGCTCCAATAAAGAAAACCGACCGCTATATATATATATATGCCATGGTAAAGCACGCATTCTCTTGACTGGGGGTCAAGAGAATGCGTGCTTTTCAGCGCGCATTCCCCGCAGATTCGGCAAATTGTTTTTACTCCTGACCCCTCTGTCGCTTTCTCCCCCTTCTGGGGCAGCGGACGAAATGGTGACATCCAGTATGATCTAACATGCTAAAACCTAAATGCTTAATCTTCCAGCAGATCAGATCGCGCCAACTCTCTGCCTGGGTACAACAGACGACCCTCCGCGGAATCCATCAGGACTAAGAGGTCATTCGAGTCCCCAAAACGCGTGGTGGACTCCCAGTCCTCCAAGAGCAGAGAGACCTCCTTGGAAGACGACGTTTCTTTGGATTTGTCTCAAGTGAGTTTTATAATTATTTCTAAATAACCTGTGGTTATCACCTCATCATTGTAGCGTTTCATATGATGTGATGAAGTGTCGCTACAGAATATATTGTTTATTGTAGTACTAGCTACTCGCCCGGCTTCGCACGGGTGTACATGTATTATACATATAAACCTTTCTCTTGAATCACTCTATTTAAAAAAAACCGCTTCAACATCCGTTGCGTAGTTTTAAACATTTAAGCATACATAGGGACGGACAGACAGCGACAGCGACTTTGGACTTTGTTTTATACTAAATTACCCGCATAGCTTTAACAGTCGACTGTTCCATGACGAATTTTTAAGGACATATAATAACAGCCGACTTTTATATAACGAGCAGAAAAAAATAGAATAGCAAATCATTTATTCATATAAACTTAATTTAAGCACTTTTGAATAGTCATAGATTTTTTTAATCTACCGCTTATTAGGAAAGCTGTCTCATCACAAGAAGAACGAGCGAGAAACTTGTGTGTTGCTCTTTTAAATAATCCTTGTAAGTTTACATTTACAAGTCGAAATGTGTGAATACAAACTACCAACCAGCACTAATTTATTAGAGTCAAAATATTAAATACACTAAGATTATAGCAGACCAGTCCCTACAATTATTGTTTTTGACAGCCTCGGTGGTCTAGTGGTTTGGCACACCGCCTTACTTCCGATGGTCGTGGGTTCGATTCCTCGCGCGGTACAAACATTTGTATACATGAGTATGATTGTTTGTACCGGTCTAGGTGTTTTCTAGGTATAATATGTATGTATTTCCAAAAAAATCTATGTATTTGTATCAGTTATCTAGTACCCATAACACAAGCTTTAGCTAGCTTAACTTGGGTCTAGATAGCGCTGTGTGAATTGTCCTGAGATTATTATTATTATTACTCTTTCAAAGACTAAGTCTGACGCGGTATAGGCACTTAATGAGTACGAATGAAGATCATATCTTAAGGAAGGTGTTACATATTAATGTGGATGGTTATAAGGGAAGAGGAAGGAAGAAGAGATGGATGGACTGTGTGAAAGATGATATGGTAGAAAGGAAGTAAACAACGAGATGACTGCGAACAGGGATGAATGGAGGAGAAAAACTTACGACGACCACAAATAAATGGGATAAGGAAGAAGCAGATGATGAAAGCCTAAAACTACTCTTACTATAATATCAACGAAAAAAAAAATAATAATACAAACGAAAAGATCAGGTTTCAGATTTCGAAGATACCAACTCTAAATATGGTATAACTCAGAAGATCACGGCGCTGGCCACCTCCACGCCCAAAGCGAAGCCCAGGAGTGGTTCCCTGCAGAACCAGCTGCATTCCCAGCGAGTTGAGTCTAGAAGAGCGCAGAAGGTGGATACGAAGAGCAGAGACAGCATCTGCAGCCGGGAGAGTCTGTACAAGACTTCTTCATCAGCAAGTCCATATAGGTATAGGTGATTATAATTTTTTTAAATACATAAATTCATAATTTAAGAGCCACTATCTTGTCGGTGGAGCTCTGGCCAGTTTCCACGGTCCTCGATCCAATGGGACTAGATGCTGCTGTATCAAAGGCTGAGCAAAGCCTATTACTCACTAAACGATTACTTGAATGACGAGCGTGCATGGCAACAGTTGTTCATGCACAGGATTTTCATTTAATGTTAGACATAGACACCTATATATATACATTGTAAATAAAAATAATATAAAATATTCAATTGAGTTTCTTGCCAGTTCTTCTCAATTGGATCTATACAATGAACTGGACGGTAGGGAAAAAATTAAAATTTTAATGTAAAAATTTGACGTTCATAAGCGGCTAAAATGTACTACATGAATAAATGAAATTTGCATTTTGAATTTAAATCAATCATCATTTTTTTATATAATACTACGTACGTGGCAAATAAGCATACGGCCCATCTGATAGTAAACGGTTACCGTAGCCTATGGACGCCTGAAACACCAGGGGTATCACATGCGCATTGCCGACCCTTAAGAAACCTTAATATACCCTTCTGGAAAAACCCCATGCTGTAGTCTCGTGGGAAAACCTCGGCAGGAAGTTCATTCCACAATGTAAGTGTACGCGGGAGGAAGCTCCTCTGAAACCGCACTGTCCGAGACCACTTAGGTTCCAGCGTGTGGATGAATTCCCTGTCGATGGTGAGCGGTGCGATAGTAAAAGCCGTAGGCATCATGTCGAACAATTCCTCAGAACACAGTCCATTGTATATTCAGTAGAACATACAAAGCGAAGCGAAGTATCTCCTCAAGCTAAGTGATAAATATTAATGTAGCCCAGCATCAGTGGAGGATGATAGGACGAGCATGAGGTCAGGTCAGACAGCACATTGTGGTAAATTCACCAGGGATGTATTGGGTTGGTGTATTTTTAAGGTACGGAGTAAGCACCGAGCTGGACTATTCGTCAGTGTCTCCGGAGTACTCTGGGCAGTCTTCCACGGAGGTGTCCCCGCGGGTGTCCAGGCTCACTGATACTGCTGTCACGCCTCGCAGTCAGGGGATGACCGTCTCCAGGTAATGACCAGGATTACATAACTTCGTTTATATTTCTCCTATGATAGTATAGTGAAAATGACATCTGCAGTTACGCGTCTAGCTATACATATAAATAAAATTGGAGTGTCTGTTTGTGATATTGAAATAACCGTTGTTTGCTACATGCATATGAATATAAATACGGTAGATACACCAAAATAACATTTTTTACAATTTTTGTCTGTCTGTCTGTCTGTCTGTTCCGGCTAATCTCTGAAATGGCTGGACCGATTTTGACGGGACTTATTTGGCAGGTACCTGATGTAATAAGGAGTAACTTAGGCTACTTTTATTTTAGAAAAATAAAGTTAAATTACACGCGTACGAAGTCGCGTGTACAGCTAATTGTTCAATAGAAATAGTAAAAGCAAAAATAATAATGCACAATTTGGCTTATAAATTACTAATTTCCTATATTTATTTAACCTCGTCTTTGCATCTATCAGCTGCTGCGCTGGCAGCTGGCAGGATTGCAGCGAGATGGAGCACACAGCAGTCGAGGGTCGAGCTGACGGGGAATGGAACAACTTCTGGGCGAATTACAACAACTCCATAGCCAAGGTCCCCATGAAGAACTACTACGACCAGTGCCCCACGCCGTATAGGACGGAGAACATCGATTTGGCTGATTTGGGTTGGTATTGCATATCTAAATATATATAACTCAAATGTGACTGACATAGTGATCTATCAACGCACAGCCCAAACCACTGGACGGATCGGGCTGAAATTTGGCGTGCAGGTAGATGTTATGACGTAGGCATCCGCTAACAAAGGATTTTGATTAATTCTACCCCCAAGGGGATAAAATAGGGGATGAAAGTTTGTATGAAACTTTGTCAATTTTAAACCGTTCGGGCCGAGACTTTGCATACATAAAGCTACTATGACGCAGGCATCCCCTAAGAAAGGATTTTGATAATTTCCACCCCTAAGGGGATAAAATAGGGGATGAATGTTTGTATGAAAGTACTGTAAAGCCACAAAAACTATACCTAATAATAATACTTCTTAACGCGGGCAAAACTAGTTATTAATGTTATTTTAAGATGGCGTAAAAAGAAGAAATTAATTAAACTTTTTCCTTAGCGCTGTCTAAATATAATAGTTGTTCTATAAAGACGTAAAAATTCTATTAATATCCAATTTTCCTCTTATACCCTTCAAGTATTATTTGGAAGCCCTCATAAAGTCGTATCCGTCAGGCGGGAGTTGGCCTTCAGCCGCTCCATAAGTCCTTTGGTTTGTGCCATCTGCACTCGCCCCTATCGTCCGGTGAAGCTGTAAAGTCTGCGGACAATATTAGAGTAGTCCGGAAAAAAGATTATTTCAGTGGTGCTCAGTGGTTTAGAGGTATAGAACTCCGCTTTACTTACGATGGTCTGTTCGATTCCTCGCACGGTACAAACATATTCATGATTGTTCGTATAAATCTGGGTGTTTTCTATGTATATTATATCTGGTACCCATAACGCAAACTCTGCTTTTTGAATTAAACCAAACTGAGTTATTGTAATTATTCTAACAAACAAAATTTGTTTTACCCAACAATTTTTAACAAAATATTCAAAATGGATCTATGCAAACTATTCATTGCAAAAAAGCTGTGATTTGAAAAAAAAAATACATAAAAATATTTTGTTTCTAGAACAATGTTTATTTATTACAATTATGAACTTAATGTTTTTAATCAAACTATATAGTGATGTTTAAATTATTAATATAATGGTTTTTTTTTTAGAATTCTCAGGAGATGGCTCCAGGAAACGCTCTCCAGATAACATTGAAGACATAAATTATATAATACGAAACGAAGGTTTGCGTCTAACGCCACGAGAGACGCAAAACATAATAAAATGTGCCCACATACTCGGCAACGTGCTAAGTAAAGCCATCGAGAGACGATGCCGAGAGAAAGACACCAAAATACAAGAAGTCAAATCCGAAATAGACGATCCAGATCGCGAAATTAAAAAGAAAACGATGACACTAGACTTGAAAGAGACGAACGTACCCGTAAACGCCAGTGAGGAAAAGAGAAGCGAGACTGCCACGACTCAAACTGACATTTCGCTGCCAAATACGAAAAGCGCGCCAAGAATATTCGAAAAGATTCTCAGACAGCTGTCAAGGACGTCTCTGGAGGAAACCACAGATAATAAAACCGGTGAAAACAAAACTAGTGAGGAGAAAGTGGTTGTCGATAACAAGGAAGACGTAAAAGAGGTTCAGAAAGAAAATTAATGTCTCTAAATATTTATTTAAGAAATTGTTTATGCATTTTAAGCCACTTTTAAAACAATAAGTGGTGTTTTTAAGATGTTATGTCTTATTTGAAGTAATGAATCGATCTCTATTACTAGTCAATTATCGTTTTAATCCATGTGATATATGACTAGACTTAAATAAACCTTTTTTTATAAGGTCTTACACCTCAAGTACTTATAGCTCAACTTCAATTCTCATTTTTAATATATGCAGTAGAAATTTTACATACAAAATTGTCTACTACGTTAACTTTATTGTCTACTAGCTGTACTCGCGACTTCGTCCGCGTGGAATTTAACAAAAAAGTTAATTAGAGATTTTTTTTTAAATAAAAGTAGCCTAAGTTACTCCTCATTACATTAGCTGCCTGCCAAAAAATGCCCGTCAAAATCGGTCCAGCCATTTCAGAGATTAGCCGGAACAAACAGACAGACAGACAAAAATTGTAAAAAATGTGTATGTACCGTATTTACATTCATATGCATGTAGTAAAAAACGGTTATTTCATTATTACAAACAGACACTCCAATTTTATTTATATGTATAGATGTATAGACGAGCATTGAGCATGTAGTTTTGTTTAAATATTTTAGCGTCTACGAACCTTTCACCTTTCAACATCATTATTCATTGAATGTATTTATTGAAAAAAGATATGCGTATTTAGGTTACAAATTAATTTGTTACAGATATGAACACAATGCAGAGTAGACATAAGTTTTTTTTTTTATGTTTCTGGAAGCAGTCGTAGACACAACAAATATATTTTAAAAAAATACCAGATATATAAATATATATTACTTGGTTTATAAAAGAAAAAAGGATGGACGTATGTAGAAGACTTTCTTACGTAGTTCAATTATTTAAATGTTTATTAAAAGGTGAGACATGAATTTTATTCTATTCAAATCTGTAAACAGTTTAGCTAAATATTTTAGTAATATATGAAGGATGGGCTAGGATATATATAATACAAAATTAAATATATCAAAGGATTTTTGAAGTTTAGTTACGTAATAAATTTCTGAACGCACGCTGTACAGAGTAGATACAAGATTTTTTTTATGTATCTGGAAGCAGTTTAGACACAATAAATATATTTAAAATGACTTTAGTTTAAATAAATATTACTTAGTTTATAAAGATCTTCTTACGTAATTTAATTGTTTAAATGTTTATTAAAAAGGTGAGACATAAATTTTCTAGTCAACTTTGTAAAAAGATTAATTATGAAAAAGTCTGTAAAAGCCAAAATTAATTAATAATTTTAGTAATATATGGAGGATGGGCTAGGATACTAGCTGTGCCCATGACTTCGTCCGCGTGGAATAGTCGACTAGCATTATTAAGCCAAAGAAAAAAGTTACAATATGTTATCTATGGTTTCAACGTTCTAGCTACAAAAATTATAAATAACATACAAACTTACATTCCCAATTTTATTTTAAGACTAAAATTTTTATAATCTTTGAATGTAATATATATTTATATTGAATCAATAACCTAAAAAATAAGTTTCAAGCTTCTAGTTTAAAAAATGACGATACTTGCAACCTTTCATCACCACTTTCAACCCTTTATTAGAATTAAAAATTAACCTATGTCCTTTCTCAGGGTCTAGACTAGCTGTGTACCAAATTTCTTCAAAATTTTTTTTTTTCTTTATTTCTTTTTTGGGATTTTTGTGCTTCTTCTAAATCTGTTCAGGAGTTTTAGTGTGTAAGCGCGATAGACAGACAGAGTTACTTTCGCATTTATAATATTAGTGAGAATAAAAGATATGGTCGCGGGTTCGATTCCTCGCACGGCACAAACATTTGTATTCATGAGTATGATTGTTTGTATCGGTCTGGGTGTTTTCTATATATATTATGTATGTATTTACGAAAAAAAATATGTATTTGTATCAGTTATCTAGTACCCATAACACAAGCTTTAGCTAGCTTAACTTGGGTCTAGATGGCGCTGTGTGAATTGTCCTGAGATTATTATTATTATTTAGATCGTTGACTGATTGTAGATATTTATTTATTAATAATGATTTATTTATTAATACTAGATAATGATGTTTTCAACTGTAATTCAATGTTTATAACTAACAACCAATAAATATATTTCTGTTTACGAAATGCTCTCATTATTTTTTAAATCCCTTTTTATTTTTTAACAAGTTTTTTTTAGTATAAGTGTCGCTGGAGTCGGAGAGGTTAAAGAGTAATCGTCTATCACAGTATGGACATGTAATGCGTAGGAACGAGGATAATATTTTAAGAAAGGGGTTACATATGAATGTGGATGGTTATAAGGGCAGAGGAAGGCCGAAAAAGAGATGGATGGACTGTGTGAAAGATGATATGGTAAGAAAGGAAATAAATAACGAGATGACTGCGAACAGAGATGAATGGAAGAGAAAAACATATTACGACGACGAAGCTGATGATGATGAACAAGTTTTTTTTTTTATTTTTTACTAATAAGAGTGCAAATTTAGGAACTTACGGTATACGGGTACCAGTGGAGTATGAAATCTGTTAGAACGAGGTTTGCAATCGATGTCTAGACTGGCTGGTATGGCAGATGAAGTATGTTTGAATATTTGAAAAGACAGTGTGTTTTGTCATCTTGTCTTACACTTATCTGTATATTGTATTAAATGTGTTTTTATATTATTTTATTTTGATTAGAAATATATTTTGTTTATCTTATTCTACGTTATTTACTTGAACACCACTATAGTTACTCTGTTAACGTGAGAAGTTCGGAGGTAACTTCCCTCACAAAATCAAGTCAATTAAGACCTCAGTGATGTCTGAGACTGGTCGTAACCGTCAGGCGGAAGTTGTCCTTTAGCCGCTCCATAAGTCCTTCCTTTGGTTTGGAGTGCCATCTGCACTCGCCCCCTATCGTCCAGTGAAGTTATAAAGGACAGCTGCGGCCAGCATTAGAGTAGTCCGAAAAAAATCACAGCCTATTGTGGCAAATTCACAACGATGACTTCAAGAAACTGCGTGGAGGTCGACATAACATAGTCAAATCAAATCTAAACATCTTTATTCATGTAGGTCTATTACTGACTTATGATATGTCAAATCTACCGTCAGTTCGGAATGATATCGAGATGAGAACTGACAAAAACTCAGCTCGTATTCTTTTCAAATAAATGTTGTACATGTTTACAATAATACAGATTCATTTAAATTCAAATTTGGGAGAATAGAGTGACCACCAGCATATGCTATTGCAATTATTCATTATACACACTTCTTAGACAATAAAAAACGACTTCTTAGAAAGTTAATATCTAATATCTCTAATACATACCACAGATAACAAAATATCAAATAGTAATTAGCGTTGCCCAGCGTCCCGTATTTTAGGCTTAGTTTAAAATGTCCCGGCGGGACTGACTGTCCCGTATTCGAATCGAGCTCCGTTTTTTATTATTACATAGATCGATCTACGCTAGGCAATGTCTTTTGATAATTTGTCCCAGGTAAACAACTAAATTCCCGTATTTTTATGCCTATTTAAACATTTGCCTCTTATAGGATGAAAAACAATCACAGCTCTAATAGTGTTAGAGTTCAGTTTAATATTGTAGAAAAATCCGATATTTTAAAACGATATTAAAAGAAGGTAGTTTGTGTTTAGTACTAATGAAGTACCCAATGTAAAGATTACGAATATTGTAAATAGCGCCATCTAGTATTTATAGACTGAACTAAGTTTTTAATCATAAGAAACCATTACCCCATTCTTTTCCCTCCTACACTGACTTCGGTCTATAAATACGGAGGTCGGTAGTTGAATAATCTTCTTTCGTTGAATAAGTCACGGCATTCAGTCGACGAGCGCAGAGCGTGCCGGTTGTGTTTTGGATACTAAAGTGAATTGTATTAGAAATGGGTTTATCCCGGTCTTAGTTGGGCCTGGGGGGAAGCTGCAAGTAGTGAAGGTGAGTGTTAATGCATTCTAAAAGGGCCTTTTAAACCTACACCCGTGTCACAAGTCACGGGCGCTACTTGGGGTTTCCCTTGCGGTAGCCGGCTTCAAAGCCTAAGTCGTCACCATTATTTAGTGCTTCTTACAATAGTAATACTCACTATACGACAACTTAATATTAGAAGCAGGAAGAAAAGATGGCGGAAGGTAAGAACAGAAACAAAATTATTTTCTTTAAATATATATATTCTATATAAAACTTACAATATGACCAACTTATCTATTTACATTCTTAGCTAATAAGCGTACGTTTTTCGAGTAACAACTATTCATTAATCTATAAACGCATTGTATGACGCACTGTCATTCAAGACTGACGTATTTCTCTAACATAATTTTGGCGCCAAATTTATTAACATACAGAAATGAAACCGAAGACTACGGCTGTATGAGCTTAGTCTCTTTGCCATTCCTATATGCATAAAAAAAACTAAATATATGATAAAGTTGTGATAAAATTTGGCGCCAAAAATTATTTTGACATTTGGGTTGTCATTTAAAATAAACATTATTTTTTTATAATTGATATTTAAATGCAGATAATAAATAATAATGAAAGTCATGTTGCTTTTATTGAATGTTCAGTACATCATACAATACGTAATACATGTTCGAAATAGTCTCGGAAAAATCTCATTAAAACCACTCCATAACACAGTTGAATAACACAGATTCTATTGAATAATAAAATGAAATTTGACAATTATATATCTTGTAATAACCTCAAATACAAACAATCTAAATTATTGATTTTATTACAATTTATTTAATACAGAGTTTTATATGTAACAATGGTTTATGTTAAATTGGTGAAATTTCTTACATACATACCAATTTTTAACTTTCTACCTCTATACATACACGAGTTACTAATTTTTGAAACAGTTTTTGTTTGTTTGTTTGTTTATATAAATATATATATGTACAATAGGTCTGTATTGACGTTGTATACAGTAGTGGGTTCATTTATCATA